GAACCTCCCAGCACAGAGACACAGAAGTCATAGGAGTGGGCAGGGCCTCCCGTAGACGGCGCTCTGCCGGAACTGGTGGCAGACAGTGCTCTGCTGGAACAGGAACAGGAACACAGAGAAGCTGAGGCCTGAGTTGAGTCCTGACATCGAAGACCCTGACTGCATCTCCTCCTACCTCAAGTGCCAGAGCAAAAGACAAGACGAGTCACCTCCCAGGGAGAAGGCTTATTGAAACAATTAAAACAATCTGCTGGGTCCATTGCTGGTCAGTTCATTCTGTCAAGGTTGTCGGAAAACAAGGAGAGGTGGACCCAAGTGCAGAATAAACTAAAAGTATTTAATAATCAAAAAAGGCAAAATAAAAACTTACTATCAAAATCCCAAAACAAAAAAACAAGGAGACACTAGTAGACTGACAACTAACATTCAACAAATGACAATGAACTGACACAGAAGGGAAGAAACACAGAGACTAAATAGACATGGGGTAATCAAACACAGGTGAGACTAACGACACAGGTGAAGACAATCAGGTCAATCAAGGCAGGGAGAAACACAAGACCAGAAACACTGAAGACAATACAAAATAAATCATAAAACACTAAAGACACACAGAACTCAAGAGTCTAACAAAACACACTAGAACACAGAGATACACAAGGATAATAAATGACAAAATAGAACAGAAAACACTGAAGACAAATCTAGGAAACCATCAACACTAGGAAACATTAACACACAAGGGAAACAAGCAACACTGGGATAAAACAGGGAAACTCAAATACAAAACCAAATCATGACAGCTGTACTTCTATGTATTCTATCCATCAAAATCCTGATTTGAAAAAACATTTAACATCAATTAATATAAGTAAATGGACAAGTTTCGGCATAAAACAATTTAGAGATTTGTTTCATAAAAACTTACAACCAAAATAATTCATTACTTAAAAACTGAATATGGCGTCCCGAACACAGATTTTTTTAAATATCTACAGATTCAGAATGTTGTTGGATCACTAATCAAAGAAAAAAAGTTACGCTTTGGATTATCAGAAATAAGAAATCAGATACATTAATTTCCTCAATAACAATTAAAGGTCAAATTAGCTAAGTATATGGTATCCTATCTACAACGGGTCATTCATGTTTTCTAACTTTATTAAATATCTGGGAAAAGGACCTAGGGTTGTTTTTAAATGAAAATATTTGGTCAAACATTTGTGAAAGAATACATTTCCCATATACAAGTAACAAAATCAAGGAAGCTAATTTAAAGTTCATTCATAAATTCTATTTCACCCCAATAAAGATGCTTAAAATCTCAGAAGATAACTCACCAAAGTGTCCACGATGTAAAAATGAAGATGGAACATTTTTGCACATGTTTTGGCAATGTGATGTGCTGAAGGACTTCTGGAATTCTATTCATTCCTTTACTAATTTGGAATTTGATTTAAACCCTTGTCTGTATTTATTAAATGACTCCCCAGATTTTCAGTTAGATAGGAAAAAATGCAGAATATTAATAATTATAACATATTTTGCCAAGAAATGTATATTGCTTTTTTGGAAAAATGAATCTCCGCCAACCTTTAAGTTGTTTTTGGATCAAGTGTCACAATGTTTACCGTTAGAGAAACTAACTTGTAACTAACTAAATGTAACCATGGCCATATTTTTCAGGACTTTTGGCTTCCATTGATCTGTTGCTTGGAGGAATTTTCTAAAGGTTGTTAACAATGATAATGCAATGATGCTATGATGTTATGATATCTAATTATTATTATTTTTGACTTAATTCCCCCTTTTTTTTGTCTCGTCTTATTATTTTTACTATTATTATGAAGAGTATTATTAGTATTACTGTTAGGATTGTTTTTCTTGTTTTTTTGTTTTTCTGTGTATGCATGGAGGCCTATGTATGCAGACATGCATGTATGTATGTGTTCATGTTGGTAGAGGGAAGGGATATACTGACATTCTGTGTACAGTTTGTTGATCGTTGTTTACCCATCCCAAATAAAAAGATGATGAAAAAAAAAACATAACATATAGACTTGTGTTTGATTACAAATGAGGGTCTGTTGGGGCCCTCGGCTACATTTACTGGGGGCCCTCCAACTAGCATTCATCCCCTTTATTTATAAATAATGGTTACCATTCTCTGCATCTGGAGGGGGAACTTCATGCTTCTCTTTTGCTCGAGTCAAAAACTTAAAAAATGATCCAATGTCTTGCTTTCTTTTTTACTCCAGAAAGACATTTTTCTCTTAATTTTTCTGACATTTTGGCAAAGTCCGGATTTCAAAGGAGAGTTCTTGCTGTCACATGGGACCCTTTGAGGAGGTTTCCTACTGTCATTCCAAATTTGCACATTTTAAGACATTGCTGCAGTTTAGAATTCGGCAGCTGCGGTTGATGGTTTATCATCAGCCTGAACTCTTGAATTGATGATTTATATAGTTTATTTTATCTTAAAACTTCACGTTTTAAAGTTACTTTTGGCTGTTTACCTTTTCTCAATAATCGTAACGCGTTCGTTTTTCTTAGTCAAGTTACCTCCACATCATTTGTTAAATCGGAAGTTCCTTGACATTATCTAAAATACAAAAAAAAAAGCATGACAAATAACATTTTCTTAACATTTCAAAGTCTTAAAGATCTTTAGCCAACCTTAAAGGCAGGGTTGGTAATTTTCAAAAACTAGCATGATAGTGGAAAGTAGCATTCCCTCAGTGCTCCGTCTGCAGGTGTATTTTTATTTGCTTTCTAGCTTCAGATATAATCACTTTAAATATGTTAAATAAAGATACTGTTAATCACACCATAGAAGATTAAACTGTTCTTTGAATTAAAATGTGACTATTTGTTTCTATGTTGCAGGTTTACGGCGTCCGTTCAGATCCTTTGGCCGTGTTTGTGGACAGATGGCCTGACTTTAACGTCCTAATCTGCAGACCTCAATGTGAAGAGGTAACTAAATATTTTTATTAAATACATGCATAAATAGCACTCTATATGCGAACAGACGGTGCTTTTTGTGTTCCTGGACATACGGTATGCGTCTGTTTTGTCTTACAGAAGGGCGATCTCGTCAACAAAATTGTGATCTCTTTGCAAAGGATGAAACGAGTCTTGAAGAAACCGTGAGGAATTCCTCCGTCATTGACTGGAGCAGGTACCTCGGTCTTGGTAAAAACACCTTCTGTCTTCCTTCATATAAATACACACCCATTGCTAGGCTACTTCCACTTAGACAAACCTTTGTCCTTTCAGTGTGTCCCTGTGAAATTGTGACCATAATTAAGTTACTGAACATGGTTAAAAGGTGCTCATGGAGTGTTATTCAAAAATATCTACACCGTAACCCGGGAGTTAATGTAACGCGGTGAAGTCCTCTTTTTGTGATGAGGACATGATCTGAAAGACTCATCGTCAGGTTTCATTATGGACGGTTAACAGGCCGTCCTAGAGTTCACAACAAAGAAAGCAAAGAAGATAAAAGAGGACGAGGAGACTGAATCGCTGTGATCTTTAATTTAGCTCCAATACATAAAAAAAAAATTAAAACCCATTTTTAAAAGCTTTTCCAATAATTATAACAAATCATGATGATTCTGTCCAAGGATTCGATCATCGTCACACCAAGATGTTCAAAGCAGTCGCATCAGAAAAAGGCGTGTCCAGCCACCAGGTGTCGCTGTGTCTCATGATGACTCTGGAGGATGTTTCCAACCTTCCTGATGTTGACAGGTAGAGTCTACTCATGCAGTGACTCCTTTAAAAAAAAATCATTATTCAGATTTAATGATTTAATAAGAACATCTGCACAGTTTGTTAGTATTTTAACTAAGCGACCACAAATTTAAGGCGGCTCCGGTTTTTAAACTCCTGTAGTCTGAGCTCAGCTTTAATCTGCTCTGTTCTTCTTCTTCAGCTCGGGGATGTCACTCAGCTCTCTGGACGAGTCGCACGTCAGCTTGGTGAATCAGACGTGGAAGTTTTCAAATAGCGACGAGGCTCTCGTTATGATTCGGAACATGGTAACAAACTTCCCTTCCTGCTGCGTGCTGGATGATGAAGGTCAGCCCGTGTCCTGGATCCTGGTGTATGATTACTGTGCCATGGGCATGCTGTACACGCTGCCGGAGCACAGAGGGAAAGGTTATGCCAAAGTCCTGATCTGCAGCATGGCGAGGAGGCTCCACGCTGAGGGGTACCCGGTGTACTGCTTCATCGAGGAGGAGAACACGCTCTCCCACAGGCTCTTTACAAAGCTGGGCTTTACTGAGGCGCCCTCATAAAGAGGGGCGTGGTTTGAGTTCAGTGAGTTTTAAATCCCTTTTAAAGAGGAGTGTGACAATACAGAGATGTGTTCTAGTCAAATGTTCAGTGCATTTTAAAGAGTTTAGTTTCAGTTCAGCTTCATGGCAGATCAAACTTCCTGCCGCTTCTCTGGAAAAGTGCTCGATGCATCACCCAACCTGAAATAAAAAGAAAAAATGTTAACAATTGTATGAATGTGTAGAAAACAATTTGGGTTCTTTTAGATTACAGGAAAAGGACTCCAGACGAAAAAACGGTAACCTTTGTGTCGCGTTCTGTCTGCTCTTTGACACGACAACAAAGTTTTGGGAGACTGAGAACGCAAAGACTTAAAAACGGCATCAAGAGTGCAAATTAAAGCGTCACCATCTCTGCCGCCTTTTAAAGCCCTGGGTAGACCTGCTTTTGTCTCCTACAGTACAATCATTTTGAAAAGTAGGATTTATTGAAAATGAAGTCTAAAGGTTATTAAAAATGATCCTGAGAGTAAACAGTGCTGTCAGGTTCTGGCTGCGTTACCTCTGCTCCGTGAACTTCTCAAGACGAAGCAGCCAAGAGTTCCAGTTCTCCAACATGAGCTCGGCGTTCAGCTGATGAGCGTGGCCCGGGGATCCGTCTTTGTAGGCGACAACGATGAGTCCGTTTTCAACCTGCAAAAGAGGAGAGACCAGCGGGGAAGGTGTGAGGTCGTTTTCATGCAACAGATATAGAATTATGAAACAAAAAAAACAACACATATTTCAAGTTTAAATAAATATTCTCACCTGTAATTAAGTTATTCCTTCACTCACCTTTCTATTCATTTGATGTTGAACTTTAATTGCTATTTTATGAACAAGTAATGTATTTTTTAAATGAAAGACCCAGATAAAAACATTGTTCAGAAGAGAAATAAATAGATATAATAATAAATAAATAAATAATAATTAATAAATAAATAGAAAAATAAATAAATAAATAATTTATCCTTTATAAATCCAGCGAGGGGAAATACAATTCAATTCAATCAAGAAAGCAATAATAGTTCATCTCGTCAGGTCACCTGGTATTTGTAGTTGCCGTCGTTGTTCAGAGCTCCTGCGTAGGCCGCCACCTGTACAGGGTTGTCATATGTGTTGCTAAGGAACGGTTTAGGCTTCTCTGAAGTCTTCCAGTCGATGACGCAGAGCACACCCCTGCAGACAGCGAAAACCCAAGGAGAGAAATGTCATGTCTGGTTTTTGAAAAAAAAAAAAAAAAAGGCTGATTTATGTCTATAAAAATCTGTATATTTACCTGAATCGTGCAACACAGTCAGCGACTCCCAGGTAGTTCAGCGAGTCGTGCTTCACGGTGCTCTCGATGGCTCTCACCGCGCTGACGTCCTCCAGTATGTGAGAGATGCTCTCCATGTATCCCTGAACCTCCGGGGGATACTTGTGAGTCTCTGAAGGATCTTTGTTCTTCCACGTTTCTCCTGATTCTAGAAGTTCCTCCAACACTGAGTGGAAATATTTCCCTTGTCTGAATAAATCTGAGAGAGCACAAAAGTCACTTTTTAGTTTGTCGGGCTTCTACGAGTACTTCTTTACTTTTCCTGTGTTGAGCAGGTTTTATTTGTCCTGGGTCACTTTCACGGAGGACTACAGATGGAAATAGTCCATCTACAAACCCCCCAGTGATGAGAAAAGTCCATCCTCTCCGTCTTTTCCCTGCTCCACTTTTCACAAAATGTGTGCTCAAACAAACTGTTTGGAGACTTTCCCTTCATGACATCACAAAGGGCAGTAGCCCCTCCCCCAGGTGGGTGACACTCCCACAGCTAGGTGTTTGTTCTGCCCTCTGAGTCTGCCTTCTCACCGTAAACAATAGGACATGGAGCGAGAAAGCACCGAGACACCCGAGCCCTTCCAGAGAGGGGGCGTGGTCAGACACAGCTCATTTACATATTTAAAGGTACAGACACAGAAACAGCCTGTTCTGAGCAGGGCTGAAATAGAGGGGTTTATAGACATGATCAAATACAGGATCAGAGTGGATTTAGAACAAGAAACTTCACACACATGTTGAAGAGGAGCTCTGAGACTTATTTAAACTGAAGAAGAGGAGGATATGTGACCTTTAAATAAGAGGTCATTTTAAAGTTAGAAAGAGAATATCAATAAAAACAGCAAAAACAGGAACTAAATATATAATAAGAGAGTTTAAAAATAAAAGACTTCAGACATGTTCTTATTTATTTGAGTAGATAAACTTACTCTGGTTGTACTCTCTGAAGCCTTCCTCTCCCAGCTCCAGGATCATCCTCCTCTTCCACCTCTCCAGGTAGAAGATCTGCTCCGGGGACTGGGTCTGCTGAAGGATGCGGGTCACACTCGGTACCGAGGACCTGCCTTGCCCCCTGTTTAACAGGATCCGGGTTGGAGGTCCTGACTCCGGCTCTTCTGTTTCTAGGACGTCCCCGCAGTTCAGGAAGGGGTGGAGGGTTCTGGGCGCCCTCCTCTCTGGTCTCGATGAGGGAGCCTGAGCTTTGACAACAGGTCCGAACACATGCTCGTCCTCCGCTTGGAGGGTCTCTGGGGTCTGGGAGCTGACCCGGGTCGACATGACGGACTTTACTAGAGAAGAGTATCGTTCACTGTCCACTGAGCTGTACGGGCTGCGTCTCTTTGGGGCTCTCAGGCAGGGACACATGGACAGATAGCTGACAGAGAGGGAGGGGTGCTGAGGGACTCTGCAGCCCACAAAGGACAACAACGTGTCAGAATCAACATGTTTGTGTCTTTAACGCGACCTGAAGAGAAATTAACCTCTTATCTCTCAGATCCTTTTACAAACATTTGATTTCAATTAAAAAAGTAAATTAAAGATATTTTCCGTCTTCATGGTGAGAGTATTTGCCCGGACATGTTCCAGAGAAACTCGGTCACAACAACTGTTTCTAAACGACGCGCCTCCCGGTTGCACAAACTTCCGGATCCAGATTCTTCTTCTTTTGTCTTCTTTTGTCATCCATCACGTTGGTGCATTACCGCCACCTTCCGCTGCGGAGTGTTGGCTCTGACTCTGGATTATAAGATAAGATAAGATATACTTTATTCATCCCAGCAGGGACATTTAGGTGTCCCAGCAGCCAGCATACACACACACAACACAACACATATATACACTCTTTTGTTCACACTCGAGATTGTGTAAGGGATGCATGTTATTGTCCATAATGTTCAACAGTTTCTGTATCATCCTTCTCCCCATCACCACCTCCAGGGGCTCCACAGCAGTCCACAGCAGTCCCCAGCACCGAGCCAGCCCTCCTAATCAGCTTGTTAAGCTTTTTAGAGTCACACGCCCCGACGCTGCTGCCCCAACAGACGGCTGCAGAGAAAATGGCACTTCCCACAACAGTCTGATAAAACTTGGATAACATTTTGCTACACACATTAAAAGACCTAAGCTTCCTCAAGAAGTAGGTTGCTCTGACCCTTCTTGTAGACAGCCTCTGTGTGGTGCTTCCAGTCCAGTTTATTATTCATGTGCACCCCCAAGTATTTATAGCACTCCACCACCTGCACCTCATCCACAAGCATAGAGAAGGTGCTTAGCTCAGGCCTGTCCCTCCTAAAGTCCACCACCATTTCCTTGGTTAGAAAATAAAAATGACACTATGCCTATATCAACTTCATTCACCTTCCACTACACTCCCTTTACTATTTATAATTTCCTATACTACCCATAACACTCTAATCCTATTTATCCACCCTGTGTAAAACCCCTTAAGATAAGATAAGATAAGATAATCCTTTATTTATCCCACAATGGGAAATTTACATTGTTACAGCAGCAAGATTACAAACAAAAAGTGAACACAGTACAATTTAAATTAAAAAAAGAAAAATTAAGAACCTACAAAAAAAATTGATATTAAAAATAGATTAAAAAAAAAAAAAAAAAAAAATAGATCAGTTTAAGTGTCCCTTAAGTACTCTAATAGTACCTTCTCCTGTGCTCTCTCACCCATGTTCAATAAACCCTTCTATGTTACTCCCTTCCTCCTTTAATCCCCTCAGTTTGTTCCTCACGCCTCTCTATCTTGGGGCAGCATGTAGTTAAGTCTGTAGGGACTTAGTTTGGGAATCGGAGGGTCGCGGTCCCGGTGCTGACCAAGTCTAGAAATTGGTCTGGTGTGTAAAATGTCCCACAATGTTCCCCTTGCTGGATTAATAAAGTATATCTTCTTCTTCTGCTTCTTCTTCTTTGTGCCTCCCATATGCCTTAGACTGACGTGCTCCACTTCATGACATCCCTCACACAAACTCATCCCTACTGCAGCCTTTCCATTGTTCAGATTTTTGGAGCCATCAGTGTAAATCTGCATGAAACCTCCCCATTTGTTTTTGTTTTTTTGTTTTTTTTATGTTTACCAGTGAAAATAACCAGATCCCCTGCATCCTTATTCTAAAAAATCTACATCCAGTTCTGGTAGGAGCCATGGTGGAACATGTGACCAACACACCAAAGGGCCCATTGACATTTTTGTTGTTCTCACCTCCCCTGCTTTGCCCCCCATGGACTGTACTAGACTCCCATTCCTCACTTTTCCACTCCTTTCCTGTCGTTCCCAGTGGTCCACCGACAGACATGCAGCTGGAATTCCGGATGCAGATTTTATTATTGAATAAACTTTCTGAAAATTGTCACATTTTCAGTACAAAATTAATATACCATTATTTTTATACCATTATACAGAGTACTAAACAAAATCTGTTTAAATTTAAAATAATGTAAGCTGTTTGTACATTACAACACAGTCAGTGTTTGGTGTGTTCATACAGAAAAAAATAGGGAGATTTTTGGTGAAATATTTTGATCAATTGTATTGTCACAAATGGCTGTGGCTCAGTTGGCAGAGTTGGTTGTCTCTTAACTGGAAGGTCTGGGGTTCAATTTCCAGCTCCTGCAGCTACTTCTTGTACTTGTTGCTTGATATTGCACTTGCATTCCTATTTTATATTAATATTTTGATTGTATAAAA